GGGGGGGAGGAGGATGTATTCTCTGGTACTTAGATGATCTATTTGTCTTGCAAATGCCATAACACTCTTTCTGAAACAAAAACTAAACTGTCTGAATGGCTGGTTCTGTGTTGATTCTGTCCGGCAGTGGTCAGTTCGGACTTTGACGTGGTGTTGTCCAGCGCCACAGCTTACCAGAGCTCGGACTACCAGCGCCTGGTCCAGCCGATCAACCGGCGCGCCTTCACCGTCAGTGCCTGGGTCCGCTACACGCGAAGGTCACAGCCTGCTACAGTCTTGTCTCTCTTGGGACTCAAGTGAGGAGTTTTTTTGTTTGTTTTGTTTGCTTGTTTTGGTTGGGTTTTTTTGGTAAGAGTTTTATGGCTCTCACAACAGAATAAAGGTCCTATGAACCGTGTGGGACACTTTAAACATTTACAGTTTGGAAGGAATTAATTTTCTATTTTGCCAGGGTGGCGGCCGAAGCCTACTCTGTTCGATTTTCGGACTACCAAGGGATCGTTAACGTGCGCAACGTGTACACAGGACCTCTGAGATTTGTTTCCCTGTAGGCTGTGATCACAGCGTGTAGCAGGGGTGGGCGTGGATGAGAGTGGATGATGGGGGCGGGAAGTGGCGGTGGTTTAAGGAGACAGTCAGGGGGATTAGGAAGTGGAGAAGGAGGTTATAAGAGACAGTCAGTGTCTGGTTCCACGACACACTGCGGTCACTCGGTCACAGCCTGCTACTGTGTTGTCTCTGGTGGGACTCAAGTGAGTGGGGATGGTTGGTGGTGGGTGAGTTGGGGGGGGGTGAGAGAGAGGGGGAAGGGGAGTTGAGGGAGACAGGCCGTGTCTGGGTCCGCTACACACGCAGATCACTGCCTGCCACAGTGCTGTCTCTGTTGGGACTCAAGTGAGTAGATGGGTGGGTAGGAGTGGAATAGGGTAAGGAATGGGGAATGAGAGAAAGCTGGATGAGTAAGATTAAAGAGAGACAGTTACAAGCTGCCACAGGGATGTCCTTTTTGGGACTGATGTGAGTCGGTGAAGGGGATTAGAGTGGGGCAGGTGGGTGGTGGGCGTGTATAGGGAGACGATTAGGGAGATGGGGAGAGGGTGAGGGTAGAGGGTGGTGGTGATTTTACACCCTGACACCGTGTTGTCACTGTTGAGACTAAAATGAGAAAGGGGGGGAGTGGGAGTGTGGGGTGGGGATGGGTGGTTGGGGGTGTGGAGTTCCACGGAGGACTTTCTAACCCACAAGAAATCCTGCACCCATCTTTCTGTTTTGAATTGCCCAAACATGAAACTACAATTATCATATCAA